AGAGAGAGAGAGAGAGAATCAAGTAGGAGGACGTAGATGATGTCGCCAAGGATCGTAAGGATAGTTAGCGAAGAGTTTAAAGGCCGGTTGACAGGTCGGCGCAACTGTTTGCGAGATAAAATACATCTTACCGTACCTGGCTGCGAGGCGTCCGTTGCCGGTATAAGTTGTCAGTTAAAAAGTTGGAGCATAGTTAGCAGCGACGAGTTTTCGCGTAACGAGAGCATAAAGCGCGAGGCCGAGCCGAGATTTTGTTTTGTCGGACAACAATCTGTGTTTTTGATTCTTTAAATGTTTTCAATGTACTTTGTTTTGAGATGTCGATGACATTGCATCACACAACTATTTGCGATTTCTAATAACAAAGGTACTTTCGTAAAAGAATCTCTTTACTTTGTAATATTTTGGTCATTTTTTTGGACACTTTTTATGCGAATGTAAAGAAAATTATAAAAGAAATTGGTAAATTAAATTTAGCAAATTGCACTTGACAGTAAAGATAGTAAAAACGGTTAACTTTTGTGAAATTTAAATTAACAAATTAACGACAAGTTAAAATGATTGAGAATGAATGACTACTTTATATTTAAATACTAAATTTTTAATTTCATTAACACTAGTCGTTATTATTTATTGAATTGTTTTATCACATTTATGGACTAGTACATCACTTCAAGTAGCTGTTGAAGCGTAAACAAAGATACAAATTTAATTAATCTTTGCAAAATAGATCTCGATTGACACTTCAACTTTTTTATGTTATAATTTATTAATTTGCTGCAGTAGTAGCCCGTTGCTGAGGATTTCCTGTTGCTTCCTTTTGCTTTTGTCCGAGTTACAACGGCGGAAGAACTTTTCTTGGCACAATTATGGTTTTGGCTTGCCTTAGTCGAAGCTATGACGATTCCTGACCCAAATCCATAAACATGCACCTGCGTGTTTGCCTCGTTTCAATTTTATAGTTTTATTGGTTTTGCAATATTCCTCCTTTATATAAGAATTAATTTTTCTTAAAACAAACGAGTTAATCAATTGAATTGTTTGCAATCAGCTTTTTATTGTAAATTATATATTTTTACTTTAAAATAATTTAGTAATATCTTTTTATTATTATAAATAAAATTTGCGCTGATTTAATTGGCCGTTGTAATAGGAAAGTTAATTGAAGCCAAGCACTCACGGGGTTTATAGATAGCTCGATAAACGAACGCATTTATTATCGCGTCTATCCGTTACGCTATCAATCATCAAACTTTGTCAGTAACCAATCAACGTTTAATTACTTCTCAATCTGGATTTTGCCGATAAGCGGAGAGCAATGAAGGTGCGGCCAAACTTAGAAAGTATATTACGGACACGATCACCGAGAGTCATAATAAAGTTTATCCGACCTATATTTAAATTATTCACATTCATCGACAGCAAGGAATTGTAACGTTGTGTTTAATATTGATTAACAGCAATGAAAAAATAAATAGAAAATAATACGCTTAATAAAAAGAAGATATATTATACATTTGACAAATAAACTGTCAATAATTATGGCAGTTGTTAAGAGACGAAATGTCTTGATTATATTTTCTCACTAATTATTATTTAAGTTATTTTTTTCAATCTGATGCCTTTTTATTTATTTAAGACAAAATTAAACGAAATAAAATTGCTGAGCTTATATCGAATTTAAAGAGGGCAAAAAATGTCGCAAACCTCGTATTGCATGCTCGAGAACATGTAATTAAGTTAGTTGCAATAATGAAACGCATATCATCCCCCTATGAAACTCTCTTAAGAAATGGCACCCCTGGTAAGCTCTGGGGGATGGTTATTCGAGAACCTAATAATTATACTTGCGATTCGTAACACGTTTTTCTCACGATGCACCGCTGCGTGAGCAATTAGCGATTTCAATCCAGGGTCCCCTCAATTAACAATTTACCCCGATTAGTTAGCTGTGCCATGAAGGGTCGAGATTTTACTTGGCGAAAAAAAAACACGATATAAAACCTAATTATTTAATATCATTTATTAAGTACTACCCAATATGTATATTTGATTAAACGTTTAAAATGAAAAAGGGATAGAAAGCCAGCGGAACAGAGAGATGTAATGAAGACCACTATAATAAACAGAAAAGAAATTTTTTTAATCTTAATCAGAAAATGCAGGAATTATACTGCTAGAATTCATTGTGACTGATTTTTAAGAAACAGTGAAAAAATAAGTAGTTGCTTTTAATCAGTCGACAATGAACAGAATAGTATTCATGCTCAGGAGAAAGATTGTACGATTATGAAATTGCGGAGGGACTTTAAAAGGATGCTAATAATATTATTGAATTTTGACAAGCAATTTTATACGATAAAATTATAAAATTTTCCGTTAGAATGAAAACGGATAATGTGAAGCCAATATCGTACAAAAGAATCTCACGAAAGCATCCCGCAAAGATGATTTCAGTTGCATCTACTTTTATAACCGATATGCTCATCGCTCCTGCATTCGACGACGTATTGATTGGCTATCGTCCGACGTATATTTTCTCTTCTTTGTCTGAGGCTATGAATTTCTTAGAACGTCTCCCGCGATCGATAATGCCGCAAATCGGTATAATTACATTCGAATTTATAAATGTGTGTATGTGTGTTGATCGCTTTACGTGTATAGAGTAATCTATACGCTACGAATGGTGGGGTTTTTTTTCTTGATATATTCGTCAGAGTATAAGTTCCAAATGTGAATATCTCTTTTAATTTTCTCAGTGAATATTCGTAGACAATAAAAAGAATTAATAGATAAATAGAAAACTGCTTTCTTCAATGATGCAACTGTAATAAAATAATCTGTAAGACCAGTCTTAAAAATAATTTACATAAATTCTGCGTATATTTTGTGTATATAATCGCATATTTGGTCGCGCTTAATTTGATATCATATGTGAAGGAACGAAATTAGAAAATGTGGTTTGCGACAAAAAGCTATGTAATGAGTTTTATGTGTTTTGATGGGAGTATTTTCTGGCTCTATGCCGTCCGATTCATCGATCAATTTATTAATGGGCTAACTCTTTTCGCGCACTCGATCATGAATACCTAATGTTGTCTCGCCAGTCGGACAAGAATGAACGAGTTTAACAATCATCATGTTTAATGCAAGAAAGTCTAACATCTTTTATTCTTCAAACTACAAACTAATTAATTATATTAATTATTTCTTAATGCTTTAATGTCTCTAGGAATTTGATATGCAAAAATGTCTTTGAAGTTAGGTATTCTCAGAATTTCAAATATGCCCGCAATTATAATATAGAAATAAACAATTTATTGATGCAAACGGTTTCCAAGATTATAAGTTTTGACACAAGTATTTTATTGATATTTTCTCTGAAATAAGTTTGACACTTTGATAAATATTATTATTTAGCAAAATGTTGGAAGAACAAGAGTTGCTCATATTAAATATACATTTTTAACAAATTAATGATTTTTTTTGCAGAAAAATTCGTTTGCGTGGTCGGAGGGTGGCGAAGAAGGTGGCGGTGGTGGCGGCGGAGGCGGCGGAGGGACGGGTGGGACCGGAACAGGTGGCACGGGTCCAGCGACCACCGGTGGTGGTGGACTGGCCCATTGGGTTAGTGTCATGGCGGAACACATTCACAATCCACACTCGGCCACTGGCGTCAGTGTTCACCATCAACAACAATCCCCTCCCCAGCCACCTTATCCGTGGAATAATGGCCTTTCCAGTGACGTAAGTACGCTTTTATTATAATTGTTTTCATTCGGTTGATATTTCTATTTGTTGAAAACTGCATTAATCTCTTGCGCTTGGAAATTAATTCAGCGCGCGTGTCCAACCCTCAAAGTAACGTCGTTTAAAATTTATACAGAAATGATTTTAACTAAAACCACCAGCGAACACACTTGAAATCATTTTTATGAAAAATTTTAGACGACGAGAAAAAAATTTTTTTTAACCGACGACGTGTTATGCACGTCAGCGCAAGAGGTTAAAAAATTATAATATTAATCATATACTTTTTATCATTATCAATCCCGACGAACATTATTACTCAATATTGCTTTGCATATTACCGAATAAGACTCGGTATTTTGAAAAAAATTGCAAAAAATATATAAAGGTTAAGATTTATAAAATGTGTAACAAAAAAAAAATACATATAATACATTTAATAACCGCGTAAATTATATAAAAAGATTAATATTTATAGTATTAACGAGCGAGACGGAGTAAGTGAAATATCAGACAGAAATACACAGTACATTTTTTAGACATCAGAAGGTGACGTAAGAAAATTACGCATTAAGTACGAAAATGAAATATAGTAGATAATACTAAATAGTTTTTACTTACCGTACACGAGACTTTTATCTTTCAAAAGTTTATAAGTAGTACTTCATGTGTAACATCGAGTTTCGTATTATTCTTCTATAACTGTGTTCTTCGCGCGTTTAAATGAAACCTACAGTCGTGATGAAAAAATCGACAGAAAAAATTCGAGGGAGAGAAACGGTTGGAGAACAAAAAAGAAATAAGGAGAAGAAGACGAAAACGTTGCTTGAATTAAAAATGGCCGGAAGAAAGACACCGTTAAATGCGTAACAACGACAGCACCAAGCCTTCGGAAATGGCAGAAAGAAATTCCCGTCCGACATGCTTTTTTTCAATGCGCGGTGTCAGCGGTACGAAATACGCTACCCCTGTTTTGATTTTGTTTTTTTTCCTCCACCCTTTCGCGTGCTATCTCCGGACGAGAATCCTGCATAATTTAGACGAGACTGGATTAGAGGAGACCGTCAAGAGAGGAAGAGACAAAGACTGCAAAGAGAGTTGGAAAGGGATGAAGCAGTAAAACCGAAAAGGAAAGGATGGGGGTGAGAGGAAAGGTGGGATACAAACGACTCGAAAAACGACGGCGAAAAAGGGCGCCAAAAAGGGTTGAAGATCGCTTTACATAGCAGCGTTCTTTCGTCGGGTTCCACCTCGAGATAAAAAGAAAAAAAAAAAGAAAGAAAGAAAACAAATAGACGGAAGCGCGAAAAAAAGACTTTTGAGGGGGAGGAAAAAGGTATGTATGCGCATTCGCGCGAAAGGGAATGAATAAGAGAAAAGAGCGAATAACGGAAAAGTAGTTGCTCATTTGAATCGATAGTGACGGTTACGTAGCGTTTTTCCTTCGTTAATCAGGTAGCTATCCATTTGGGATGCGGCTGAAAAGAGGATTAGCAAAGAGAGCCGATTAAAAAGAATTTTGAATAACATAAAATTCATATATTTAAAATTTACAACGCTGTATTTTCTATCTTTATCATTTATATTTACTCGATGGAATTGTTATTTGCAATTGTCCGCGATATTATTATAACTGCGTTACGCATCCATTATTCAATCTCCTTAGAACGAAATCGTGAAGAAGCCTCGCGATAGGGGTTTCGTTTGTTTTTCCAAGACAGAAATTAGGGTGTGCCCTCTATCTTTGTACAGTGCGAAAAAGGATCGGATTTGAATGTGAATAGACGCGGTAGACATTTCGAGGACGCTCTTTATCGGTCGTGGAACCTGTAACACGCGGAAGAGTTAGTCCCGAAACTTTGTTTGTTCTCTCTTTCTCTTCCTCCTTCTCCCCCTCTTCTTCTTTCCTCCAACCGGGTGAAGACTCACCCCGGGTTTTTGTCTATGGTTATGGGTGCCCACGAGAGACCCACGCCATGGGACTCTCGCGGAGGCCCCGGCAAAAAACAAGGAACCACGACAACGGGGGAACGATTTAAATAATCCGCGGCATGCTAATGTCTCTGGCATTCTCACGGGACACCGTTCCGTGAAAGTTTTCGGGGGAAGGGGAGGGGGGGGGCGATAGTTGGGAGAAGAAAAAGAATGAGCCTACAAGACAATCGGCCAATCTGCATACGATGCATACGGGTACGAGAGGAAGAGCTTCACCCTTTCGTCTCTCGAGGGGCTGATCGCGTTATCTCGGTGAGCGATTCATGACCAACGAATTATCGAGCAAGACCTAACCGTCAGGTCTCAATAAAAGTCTTGGGAATTTTTATTTATAACGAAAATAAGCTGTTTTAGATTAGATTTCTACTGAATATAATTATAGTTTTAATGCCGTTGAAATCATTTTCGTAACAGTGCGTCCTCAGCATTCATTGCGAATTGATAATGGAAAAGTTGTCAAAGAATACGATAGCGACGGTGTGCTGGCAAAGGTGAAGAAAACATATTGATCGCGAATGTTGGCGCTGTAGCTGTGTCATGTGCGAAATCAGCAACACATTTTCGGAGGTTGTAATCTGTCGCCGGTTTCGCCCAGCGGGTGGTCAACCCTTTTTTCGGGCTTTTTTCCGCCTGCCCGACCATAATCCTTTAAAACGCTTAGAGGCGTTCTTTAGGGTAATTTCTTCTCGGCGAAGAAGGGGCGCGCCTCATCCGGCGAGCCCCGCGCCGTTTCATTTGCTGCCGGAGATGCAAAACACCTTCGGCCGATTTCTCGTACCCCCCCGGAGCAACTGGAATCGTTCTTCGTGCGAGAGAATCCTTGGCCTCGCGCGAAACACCACCCCTGACGAAGATTATGCAAAAGAAGACTCATCCATCCTTTTCTCTTCCTTCCTTCGCAACTATTCTTCGTTCCCCGCTCTCCTCTCTCTCTCTCTCTCTCTCTCTCTCTCTCTCTCTCTCTTTCTCGCGTCGTCATTTTCATCCCCTCGACACGGTAGCAGTACGAAAATTAAAATAATGGTTCTCGCAACCCCTGCGGCACTTTTTTACTTCTTCGATCGGCTTTTTCCTCATGCACCTTCAGCGCACCAGCGACAGCCGGCATGCAAATTGCGCAACGGGATTTTTGTCTCTGTTCGGCGAGAGACAAAAAAAAAAGAGCGGGAAGAAATAAAGCACGGTTCATTGTCTCGGTGCGGAGTGTTCGTTAAGGGACCAGTGTTGAAATAAGATTTTTTTTCTATCCGCAGACAGCCTTTGGGTGACGAAGCCGTGTCCTGCGATTGGCTAATGAATTTCTAGGGCAATGTGACGCGCCAAAAAAAAAAAGCGACGGGACTAACGTTCACTTTGCATTGAACAAAATAAACCGGTAGAAAGTTTCATGCTGAGGCAATTTATATCGCGTCATCGTACAACGATATCCCAATACGATTTTTGTTAATTTTATACGTATTATAGAAAATATACATTTCCCTGAACGCTTCTTGTAGAATTTCCTTTAATCGTAACGTAGTTTTTGTTATTGCATTTTTGTCATTAATAGCATTAAGAATTATTATAATATAATTAATTGGTATACACATTAATACAAATATACGTGTACAACGCGTTTCTAAATAATCTATTGCGAAAACGCTCCCCGTGTATCGATTTGTGACTCTCGCGTTCTCACAGATTTCTCGATCAGGTTTTGTTTTTGTCGTTGCAACCGTATTTATCGAAAACTACCCCTCGCGGCGCAGAGAATATTGCACTCGGTTGCACAACAGAAACAATGAAAGGATGCTGTGTTCACGCATCGACCTAACGCCGAGTCCTTTTTGGCGGCGGTGTCACAACATTTGGGCCCAGGATAGAGTTATGGCCGTCCTTTTCCCGTAGTTTTCGGCGCGCAGACCCTCTCCTGGATCGTGTTCGTTATTCATCTCTCTGCTCGTCCACGCGGAAACAGTTCTCTGCGACTCTTAGCTTTTCATATCGCGCTCTGTCGGAACCCGCAATGAATTTACAGTTTGTGTCTACTTGACGTAAAATTATGTTTGCAAAAATCTTACCCTGCTTCATGCCGATGTGCTTTGTGAAATATGATATCTTACGTATACATAATATTTCATCTTTTTTAATTTATAAAGTAATTATTCATTAGAATAAATAATTAGCATAATTATTTTGTCCGTAATGGTTTTACAAGTAAGTTGGAATGTGTACATATTTATGAAAATTATTACCTGTAATAAGTAGAAAAGTGGCTCCGTAAAAATGTATGCAAACTTGCCACTAAAACATTCTTCGTAATCACGTGATTGGATTTTGAGTATCAAGGTTAACGGTAAAAGGTCGGTGACACTCAAGTCGCGACTGTGTTTTCGGACGATCTCGTGTCTCGAGACGTGACTAAGAATTCATCGCGAGAATGTACCGTTTTCCGCGCGGGTGCACCGTTAAAGGGTTAAAAAAAAATTAGCACCCGGTTTAGGAGGAGGAAAAAAAGTGCTTCGGGTGCTTTCAGCGAAGACACGAGCACCGGTGTGTCGGGCTGCCGGAACCGATCCGGGTGAAAAAACCGCGTACAGTTTTTTCGACGGCGCAAGATAGCCGCCCTAGGCTGTATCGTAGGGGCGCGTATGCAGATCATCGTGAAAGCCAAGTACAAAGGGTCCATAGTCTCACGCTATTGTGCCGTGGCAGGTAAGATAAAAGTGGCTGGCCCGTGGGCCTGAGGTCCCTACACGCGGCTGCAACCCCGAAAAACACACGTACACACGCACGCACGGACGGCCGCCGGGTGACCCGGTCTAGTAGACCAGCTCTTGATGTCTCTTTAATTTTTATTAATGACGGCGAATTTGAATTTCTGCATCGGTGATATGGGAACCGCGCGAGGCGGTTCTTGAGGGACCGTCAGGTACGAGAGAGGCGGACGTACGTACTGCGAGAGCACGTCGTAAGTCGCGTACGTGACCGTGGCCCTGGGAGCCGCGCTTAAGGGAGATCCT